AAAGCATTTAAAAAGGTAAATATTAGGGGTATGAACTCACCTTATTTGAGTGATTCGTTTGTGATTTCGATATAGGATGATTGTTTCCACAAGTTAGCTTCCGGGAAAAAACCAAGTCCTAAATAGCAATTCACGCGATATATTGGCATGAAATTAGTGAATATAACCTCAAAGGTGTTGAGGAAACAACCTAGGATGTAAGAATTACTTATAAAAGAAGTGTTAGAAGCAAAGTCGAGTGGTTGCTTTGAGTTCTTGGTTGGGCTTTCGTGTTTACAGTCGTAAATGGTTCACGGCCATTTGAAGATTCAAGTGTTTTCGGCTGTAACTCAAGTGTGCGTTCTTGGTGAAACCAAGGAGATTCAAGGGTTTACGACTGCAAATCAAGAAATGAAGGGTGATTGATCGATGAAAAGAAGAACACTAGATGTTCTTATCAAGATCCGAAGGTGAATCAAATGATCCTCGGATGATAGTTGAGAGAAAACTATGGGTTTTCGGTTGAAGATCTTGAGAGAAAAAGCTTGAGTTTTTAGCTAGAAGGGAAGAAGTGAGGATTATTTCAGTCAACCATATATATATATATATATATATATATATATATATATATATATATATATATATATATATATATATATATATATATATATATATATTGGGTAGAGTTTGCGGTCCGAAGGAGTTTACGGCTATGAACCGAAGGTTTACGGTCAGAAGTGAGTTCACAGCCGAGAACGAGGTTCTCGGTTGCGTGACGTTTACGGTTGCTAAGGGGTTTTCGGTTCCTGTGAGGCTCCTCGGATTTTGAGTGTTCAAATTTCAAATTTCCACAACCCTTTTAACTAAGTGTTTAACATGAAAAGGTTATAAATCTAACCATAAGATTACATCAAAGCATAAGTTTGACTTTTATTGGATAAGTTTTATGTTTACAAGATTGAAATTACAGGTTGTCACAAATCTGCCAGTTGAGCTTAGCCAGATCCACAACACTTTCCATGTCTCCCTACTGAGGAAGTGCTTGGTAGACAACTAGCGGATATTCGGGTGAATGATAGCTGAACTACATTGAGCAGCCAATAGCCATCCTTGACAGGAAGTCGAAGGATCTGAGGAACAAGAGGGTTGAGTTGGTGAAGGTGCAATGGCAACACCGCAAGGGATCGAAATGGACTTGGTAGCCGCAGGACGAGATGAGAGAGCACAACCCCGAGCTTTTTCTAGACGCAGTAGCAGACTTCGAGGACGAAGTCTAAAATAAGTGGGGGAGATTTGTAGCGCCCGGTTCCTGGTACATATTTTAAATATGAATTTTTGCTTTCTACTCCGGGACTCAGGGAGTTGGAGGCCCCAACTCGTCGAGTCGAGGCGAAACTTGGACGTGGGTAGAAGGACCTACTCGCCGAGTCGGATGCCCCGACTCGGCGAGTAGGATGTATGGATGAAACCCTAATTTTAAGTGTTTGTACCATATTTAAACACCTTAACCGGTTTCCTTTACAGCCTCCAGCACCCTCAAACCATCATCACCAAACCCTAATCGATTTTTGAGTGTTCTTGAGCTCTTTGTGCCATTTTGTGTATGATAGAAGCTTGAGAGGAATGAGGAGGCTTAGGAGATCAAGAGAAGGCAAGTAGATCAAAAAAAATTGGCATATTTCCAGCTTCTTTAAGGTAAAAAGCTTCAACCTTGACCATTTACCTCTTAGATCTCTAGTTAGGGCAAGTTTCTACTTTTTTTAAGCTTTAGTAGAGCCATTTTCGGGATTTTGTGGTTCTAAAGGGGTATTACCTCAGATCTTGAACCATTGGGGTTCCCATGACATAAAGGTGCCAACTTTATGGCCATGAGAGTCCCATGTACCTTGTGGACCTCATTTTTGTGTCTTTTGAGCTTGAAGACCCATGCATGGAAGTAAAGTTGTGACTTTACGTGTAATATGGACCCTAGGAGGTTAGATCTATGTTCTGGATGCATTAAGGTCGACAAAAACCGACTGAATAGTTTTGGACATGGAGGGACTTGTCAAGTCGCTCATATGACTCGGTGAGTTGGGTCGTAGTTTCCCCTAAACCTCTTTTGATAACGAGCAATGTGTTTAGTTGGGAAGAAGACTCAGCCAGTTGGGTTCATTATGGACCTGAAGATCATGGAACTCGGCGAGTTAAAGACTAACTCCCAACTGCATGAAGAAGAACTCGATGAGTTCATGGAGAACTCAGCGAGTCCAAGACTAACCGCACCAACTTACAAGAAGAAAGACTCGACGAGTTCAAGGATGAATTCAGCGAGTTAGTTGTAGAAGGTCCCAATTTTGTACGAAGAAGAACTCGGTGAGTTCTTGAAAGACTCAGCGAGTAGGGTCGAAGCTTTTAGCATTTTAAGGATTATGGAACTCAGCGAGTTGGTGGATCAACTCGGTGAGTTGAGTCAACCAGATGTTGACCTTCACCAAAAGCTGACTTTGCCATGAGTTGTCCCTTGAAAGGGGTTAAAGGTATGAAATGGTAATTAAGGAAGATTGTTCTGTGTAGGAGTTGAAAGGAGATGATCCCGACATCAAGGACAATTCAGAAACTTCACGACATTGAGGTGAGTTATCTTCCAGTAGGAGTAGGTCGAAGGCCACAATGCCAACCCATTAGCAGGAGTTATTGTTAGATGATTGTCTTTGTGATAATTGCTTGGTTTTCCATTATCTCTTATATTTGTGTGCTAGGATGCTATGTGAAACATGCCATTAGTAGTAGGGGTGAATAGTCCCCAATTAGTGGTTGAAAGATACTGAAGCGAAGGATAGCTCCCGGTTACCGGTTGAAAGATACCGAAGAGGAGGTTAACTCCCGGTTACTAGTTGAAAGATATCGAAGGGGAGGGTAGCTCCCAGTTATCGGTTGAAAGATACCGAAGGGGAGCCTAGCTCCCAGTTATGCCAGATAGGTATCGGTTGAAAGATACCAAGAATAGGCATTATTTGGTATGTGGTATGATGGGGAAACTCATTAAGTTTTGTACTTATAGTTTTTTAGTTTTGTTTCAGGTACTTCTTCAGCGAAGGGGAAAGAGCTGGCACGGTAGCAATGCATCACACACACACACCGGATTTTCGCATTATGAGATTCTTGGGATTGTACTTTGATATTATTATTATTGTTATTATCAGCATTATTCTTTTTTGTGACATGGTTGAGACCTAGGGTCTATGGATTTTATGTAATGAAACAATTCGATGATGTTTTTCTATAGATTGTTTTTATGAAACGTTATATCAAAAATGAAATTTTTAACCTTGAAAATTGGGATGTTACACTTACAAACAACAGCAAGTTTTGAGCCAAGCCAAACAAATTTTCTTTTAGTTGGCTTGTTTGAGTTTAGCTATCTGGTTTATGTTGGGCTCAGTTCCTAAGTGTTTCTATCTTGTTCCACTTCTTTTTTGTCCAATGGACTTTTTTCAAGAAATCTCTTCCCACCGCTTTCTCATTGTTTTTTACCGACATTGATGGTTAATTTGTATATTTGGATCAGATTATTTTTAAATTTATGACTGATTTCAATAATTCAATCAAGAATTTGGTTATGGGTTCTAAGAGTCTTTGTATTCACGGTGGTTTTATAACATCTTCATCTTCATACAAAAATCAAATAAGCGTTTTCAAAATTTCAATTAAATTGGGATGAAATTTGTATGCACTACTTGGTAGAAATTTACAATTTTGAATTTAATGTATGCTTATATAGGTCTTTCAACATGTTGGTATGCGATCTTTACCCTACTTAACAATTATAGCCTTGCAAAATTGGTGAACCTCATTGGGAAAAAATTGAGGTCTAGTTTGAATAGATGAATTAACCATTTAATGACATGTTTGAATGTTTTACAAGATGGATGAACATTATGCTACAACCTAAAATTGAGGTCTTAACTCTTGCATAATAACATTTATTTTTCGTTTTAATTGCCGATGAATCTGAAACAGACAGCCAGGAATCTAATGTTAGTGGTTCAGATGAGGATGATATATCTTGGATTTCATGGTTTTTCAATTTGCGAGGAAATGAATTTTTCTGTGAAGTTGTTGATGAGTTCATTCAAGATGATTTCAACCTCTAGGTTAAGCTGTCAAGTTCTTTATTTTGATTATGCACTTGATCTAATCTTAAGATGCAGAATCTTCTCATGGTAAGTTGTATTACTTTTTTTGAATCTTGGATATTCTTTGGTATACTTTTTTTTTTAACAATTCCTCTCCTTAAGTTAAAGGTGTTACGTGAGAGAGAACTAACATAAATGGGTGAAATCTATTAACTTTATCTATATAACTATACAAGTTGAAGCTATGAGTTTCTGAAAGAGCTAACTACTTTGATCCAAATTTCAAATAATAAAAATGTGTTCTTTAGTTCTTAAGGCGTGTTTGGTTTGTTTATTCCTATGGAATTGAAATTGAAATTTTGTTCATTGGAGTGTCAATTCCGTCAAAATCCTTAAAACTTTTTATTTTTAATGTAATGAACCGAAAAGTTTGGATAAGTCTTTTTTTTTTTTTTATTTTAATTATAATCTTTGCATTGGTGTTACCAGATATTTATTTTATGATACCTAGATTTTGTTATAAACTTAATTGCAGGAACCCTTTAAATCTTTACCAGGGGACTTGAGTACACTGCTGATGCATCAAAGTCTAGAAGGCATACCCGAAAGCCACGCTAATTAAAACATTATTCTTATAAGGTCTGAATTTTATTAAAAGAAAAATTATACTATACAAGAGTATATATAGTAGGATGAGTTTAACACTTGTAAAAAAAATAGCATTTTCAAACAAATGCCATAACCCACCAGAAGCTAGCATTTGCAAACACATACGAAAACCCTAAATAAAAGGAAAACGACAATAGTTAACATGTTGGACTCAAAAGGAACACACAAAAATAAAAATAAAAATGCATATTTGTTCTAGAACTACTCTTGACCTTTAAAACACATGAACACTCTCGTTTTCAAACCATTGGAAAATGGGTGCGAGGTTAAGGTCAAGGCTCATGACAGGGTCGTGGTGTAAATGGTGGTGATCGAGTTCGTCTTCCACCTCCCCCCATTTCAAAATCCCTGCTGTGCGCTTATCTTCATGATTTGATTTATGATGAATCATGAGGATTTCAGATGATGTTGAGATGTGACGATTGGCAAAGTAAGAGTCGGAAATGAGGTCCAGCCACTCTTTGCGTACACATTTGCAATGGATGATTGTCTTGACGGGAAGTCTTGAGAGAATATCAACCATGATTGGTACAGGTAAGGCTTCCATGGATGGATCGAGATGATCAACAGGCACCTAACAAATATTTTACTAATACTAAATAATAACAATCAACTAAAAGGAGCATTGATTATGAAGAGATTTTTACCTAAAGAGAGATCGAGAGCATTGAGAAAGAGAAATCAAGTCTCTAAAACCAAGTCGGCGAGACTCCGAGAGCAGCAGCACTGCCCAGCGGCGGCAGTGATGGAGGCTCAGAAGGTTTTTTCTTTGATTCACACAATCACACTTCAGGGTTGAGAGGGGTTTTATTTTCTGTGAGAAAGAGATTCGAGTGTTATAATTGGCAATTCGGGGAATGATCAAAGATTCGATAGTTGGGCCCCTTGCCAGGCGGGCCAGGTCCCCTTCCGCTATTTAAATCCGCCCTAAAATCTAAATAGTGGTTTAGCTTGATACTCGTTATGGATTATTCTTGGTGATTTACATATTTTTGTGGTGTATTTTTGTGTTTTATAATAGTGATTAGAGAAGCTTTGGAATGTATTTTCCTTAGGTTATGTTTAGCGTACTAGTTGAAAGGTTAGTTGATAGTTGAAAAAATAGTTGTTAAATAAAAATCTAGCTGATAGCTGAAAAGCTAGGTAATAAAAAATGACATTTGATAAAACTAACTGAAAAATATGAAATTATATAAAAAGACATTTAAAAAAATGTGTTTTTATAATTAATTAAAGGGTATATGTGAAGAATTTTAAAAAAACTCCTAAAAAACTAGTCTAAGTAGCTTTCTAAAAAACCAGCTTATAAGTTACTGTTTGGCTTGCCAAACATGACATCTTAAAAAAAAAAAAAAAAAAAAAAAAACTCGAAAAATAAGCTAGTTTTTCAGCTAGCTGTGACGCGCCAAACATAAACTTAGATGACAAGTAGGAACTGTTATTACAAGTGTCTTTATGACTTAATGCAGAAAGAAAGGCCTCGTAGATAATTTATAGAAACGAGATTTTTTCAGTTACATTACAAATTTGCCTTCAGATTTCGGTTTTCCTTCATTTTTTCAGGATTTGTTTTAGGTGAAGAGACATAATTGTAAAGAAAATATCAAACATGTACGTGGATCTTTTGACAATCATCTCACACTTCATAAGCCATTACAAGTGTCTAAATTACACAAAAATATGAGTTAATATCCGTAGTTAATAATAAGCCAATATCAGCAATAGGCCCATATCGTGATTAGGACAACTCCAATTTCTAGTTGTTAACTTTCTTTCTCTCTATCACGTACATTACTAGAAAACTGATGCAATAGCTACAACACAATATGTAGCTATAAGTGAATACCTATGGAATTGCTACGGAAATAAGCCTGTAGCATAAAAGCATGTGGCTAAATTATACCTACGGATTAGTTACGGAATTGCTACAGAATTCTTCGTAGCTACCATAACTACGAGATAGCTACGAAAATAAATACCTACAAATTTCATTCGAATTACCGATGGGAGTCATATTTGGCTAAAATTGATTTTTTCCTACGGAATAGTTACATAAGTAAATAGCTACGGATTTTCTGTATGTAATCTGCAGTTAATTACTTTTTACTTAAAAAAAACAGTAAAAAATTATTAAAAAAAATCTAGTTTATTCTATCCAAAATATTGAAAAACCCATTACATTAAACTTATAATAATAATAATAATGGAATTCAACAACAAAACAAATAACATTAAAATATAACTAATAAACTTAAAAAAGTATCAAATACAATTACATAAACATTGTCTAATAATACAAAAAATTTATAAGTTATTCAAAGTTATTATATAAGTAACATAAAATACATAATTGATAATTCTACTATTACTCACACATGTTTTCTAGTTTAATAACCTTAAATCTAACCTCATATTCACTTGTCAAATATTGCCTACACATGGTTAATGCTTATAACCGCTGCTTTTAAAATAAACATAACATATTTAGATGTAAAAAATTAAATATAATATATAACTAGAAAAATAAAAATAATAGTTAATAGAAGTATTTAGACAAATAAAATATAATGGTTACAACCACGCCTTTCAATTACTTTTTATCAAGACAATCAATTTCGGTTAACATGTATCATTTTCATATCATTTTTACTTGACAAATAAAAATAATAGTTAATAGAAGTATTTAGAAATTTAATTTAATTTAATATTATTTTTTTTTGCAAATGTAGGTAACTATTTTACAACAGTCAAAAGATAGAAGTAACTTAAATACAAACCAATTCAATTCACACAAATGAGCCAAATCATTTTTTGAATTGCATATGTACTTGTAAAATTAACGAAACAAAACCAAATCTAAAATTATAAAAGCCCAAATCAAAATAGATATAAATAACTCATCACTATCACAAAATGAATTGCATTTTAGGCACTAAAAAAAAATACACTTCAAACTTTGTATTGTTTGTAGCATTTCTAGCAAGTCTTTGCATCTTCCTGCAACATAACACAAAGCACAAGTCAAAAATACAAAAAGCTAAATATTAAAAAAAAAAAAAAAAAAAAAAAACGAGAAGCAAACAAACCTATGGTATCAATGTAACAAATAAACTCCTTCCATGTTTCCTTATGCTTAACTGCAAAGAACCCTATTCAGACCACAGATAGCAAAACCCAAATCAAATCAACAAATACTGAAATCAGATAAATCACATATTACACATATTGGAAACTAAGTCCATACTGATTGAGACTCAATACCACCAAAAAAAACTATATAATCAATCTGCCATTACCTCACTGGCTTAATGGTCCTCGTCCTTGAATCGAAAGTTCAATAACAAAAGTATTGGAAGGTGTTTTTTACATCACCATTTTCACAGCGGAATGGGAATCGAAGCAGCATCGATAGTGAAGATGGTGGTGTTATGGAGTCCAACGGTAGTCGGTCGTCGTTGTGGTAATCAACAAGCAAAAAAACGTGGATCAACATAGAGAAGGTTGAAAGGGGGTACTATCGTGGTGAACTACCCAATTAGGTCTCGGAGACGAGCCCCTACCAACGCTGACAAAGAAGATGGTGATTGCTGAGGTGGCCGACGCTAAAGGTTGTGAATGGAGCAGAGCGGCGGTGAAGGTCGTCAAGCGAATCACCCATTGAGAGAGACAACGAACGAATGAGTGAAGGGAGGAGGTATTCCCGATTTTAGGGCATACACAATGGGGGTGACCTGAGCTAAGAGGGGAATCCTCTACCTATACCATTGTCAGCGACGACGGCGAGAATAACCTACGGAGGCGATAGTTTCATCAACTAGAAAATGAAGAAGGGAGAATCGAAGCAGTGGACATAAACGGGGGAGTAGGTGAGATACTATGGAATAGAAGGGGGAAAGTGAAAATGAGACAGAGGGAAAACTAACTTTGGGGAGTTTAAAATTTTCATTTGTGAGGGGAAGAGTCGTTCAACCACAAAAGAGAGCAGATATGACCAAAAAAATGGTTGTAGCAGGATTTGAACTTGCGTTTCACATAAATATAACCCTTAATCTTACCAAACAGTCGGCTATGCCACATCCTTAGACGATTGGTCTCCGATTAGTTTTATCTTGTTTTCAAAAAATAAAGAAAAATGGGTTTGGGGTAGGAATCGAACTCGGATCTTAGTAATCAACCACCATATTTACCATCAGTTGGCTATGCCACATCCTTACTCAATTAGTCTCCTATTACTTTTATACACTTTATTTTTTCGATGATGATGATGATTTTTATTATTATTATTATTCCCAATATTATTATTATTATCTGTAGGTAATTAACTATGGATTAACTACGTAATTTTCTTATTTCGATTTTTTGGGCACCAAACGTCGTTTTTTCCGCTTCGCTTTTTTCTCACCTCTGTTATACATGATTATCTATATTTTCACCAACTTATAGCTATTAGTATCATTCATAAAGTCGTGTGCACCTTCGGGATCCATTACTCGTTCATTGTTTAACATTGTAATGGTTACGGTGGCTGCAGCAGCAGCCGCCTCAGAGATTCCAGTATATTGCTCATCAAATGTCTCGATCAAAGTGGTCTTAATAGAACCAAACATCTTCGAAATAGCCTCATGTATGACTATGGCCATGTTGGTTCAAAATATGGTTTATACTTTTCTTTTCTGGGAAATTGTATTTTTATGTAATATTTTATGAGCTTATAGTCTAGTTTACGGCTAGGTGGGGGTGTTTACGGCCGTAAAGCAGGTTTACGTCTCATGTTCACCAAGCCCATATTCCCTAGTATATATATATATATATATATATATATATATATATATATATATATATATATATATATATATATATATATATATATAGGTGTTAGGGGTGAGGAGTAGAGATTGATGAACGTGAGAAGAGAGAAACTAGAGATAAGAAGAGAGCATTTTGTGTGTGTGAATCTATTGTAAGGAACTTAATTCTAATCATATCATTCAAGATTCATCTTCTTCTTCTTCTCATTCTCTTCTATTTGATCTGACATCATCCGTTTGATTGAGATTCCGCACCATCAAACGGATCTGATTGATGCACAAACATATTAGGGACTTATAATTGGTATTAGAGCTTGAATTGTATCAATCAATTTTGTCAGATCTGGAGCTTATTTGATCTTATTTTTAAATTTTTTTGCATTTTTGGATAGATCTCTGAAAAATAAGAGGGGTTTGTTCTTCACGTTTTTCATAAAAACGGATTTTTGATCGAGTTTTGGAGCAAAAAAAGGGAAAAATCATTGTTTTTGGTCCTAACCTGCGAGGGGGTGGTGGAGTTTGTGGTTCACAGTCCAAGATTACGGCTCAGAGTTTATGGCCTCGGTTTGCGGTACTTGGTGGTTTACGACCTCGCACCTCGCATCACAGCTACTTCCTTGCCTCATTTCGCATATATAAAAAATTGAAAGCACATTTGGAGGTGGCGAGATTCGAACTCGTGACATCTAACTCATCGACCAGTGCCTTAACCAATTCCTGTAGCATCACCTTTGTTCCATTCGTTCGCATTCTTTATTCAAAAACACTCCTTCTCGGTTTCCAGTTTCGCAAAATTGTCATTTTTTGCCCAAAAATTAAATTTATTTTATTTTTAAATTCCTTTTTCATCTAAAAAAATAAAAATAATAATAATAATAATAATAATAAATGAAAAGTAGTTTTTAATTTTTGACTTTTATTTTTGATTTTTGTCTTCAAAAATTGACTTTGACTTTCAAGTTTAACCTTTGACTTTCTCATTTGACTTTTCAAATTTAACATTTTGAGTTTGACTTTTCAAGTTTGACTTTTCGAGTTTGATTTTTGAGGTTTGTAGTCAAATGGTTTAATTTTGGCTTCTAGTTGTGTTTTTAATGACTTTTAAGGTCAACGAGGGAAATAAAGACATGAAAGAGAGTCATCAGGAGATGTTAAGACAAAATTTCAACATGTTCGATTATATCTCTAGAGAAACCCTGGAGGTTCAGCTGCAACGATTCACCACTCTCACTACTGAGATGAATATAGCTGGGATCTTCTTGACTAAGTCGGAGATAAACAAAAAGCTACTGTATTCACTTTCGAAATCGTGGGATATGGACGTGGTTGCCATCAAGAAGGCAAAAGATCTCAATAGTCTTAGTCTTGCTGATATAATTGAAGAACTTGACGCTTTGAATTGTCGAAAAACAATGAGTTCTGCAAACATTCCGGTCAATGAAGTTTCATGTACACTATCTAGTGAAGATACGATTAAAATTCTTCGTGAACATAATGATTTGCTAAAAAGGGAAGTTGAGGACCTAAAATACAAAGGATATTAACTTAGGAAAGGGTTGAAACCCCTGAAGGCTGAATTACAAGAAAAAATCAAAGACTTTAGGAAGCTTCAAGAAGAGTATAGCAACAAGTGTGAAAATTTTGACTATATTAAGAGACAACTTGCTTCTGTAACTAAAGAACTTGACACTTTGAAAATTAAGTGTGAAAAAACAGATGTTAGTTTCAAGAATTATATTGCGTCAAGTCAGACAGTCGAGTCCTTATTTGAAACCCAATTAAAATTCAAAGATAATCAAAACAAGGGTGTAGGGTACGATAGTGTTCCTCCACCTTTCAATCATAACTACACATTCATCCCTATGACACAGGAAGAAATTGACAGGGAGGCACATCTTCAATATGGCAAACCAGCGGGATTTGTGTTAGGAGGTATCTAGGTTGAAAATACTAATGTTTCTACTTCATGTGCAGGTAAAGTAGCATAAGATGAGAACAAGGAGAACACTACTGAACAAACCAATGACTCCTTGAACTCAGAATTTGTTGCTTCAAATTATGTTACTCCTAACAAACCTACCATTGAGAAATACAGGCCTCCAATTCCAGCGGAACAGAGTGCTTGTTGCAAGTGTGCACCTGGGATCAATAAGAGACAAGGCATGGATTCGCCACTAGGGGCAGGAAGAGACAACTTCCTAGTGAAGAAAAAGACTTGTTTTCAGTGTGGAACACCTAGACACATTGCCATAAATTATCCTAATCACGCTTATTTGATCTATAGGTATGGATGTATGTATGTGTATCAAAAACCACAAGCACTAATAGACATTACAATGTGAAAGTATGAAACGAATAATGGACCCGAAGTTGCACATGGCTTTATGAATGATATTTGTAACACCTGGAATCTAGTAGATTGATTGTGGAAATAAATCCCCTTTTTTAGGGACCAACACATCAAGTTGATAGTGGGAAACTCAACATGTTGGAGACTTTTTGGTCACGCGTTTTTATGAACCAACATGGCGAGTTGATGAAGGGAACTCGGTGAGTTGGACGCTGATTGAGAAACCCTAATTTTTAGGGTATTCCACCCTATTTAAAGATCTTAAGTTCTTTGGCTGACCTCCTTACCAGCTTCCTCTGCCCAGAAACCCTAAAATCAATCCTTATCTTCTATTGTTGAGTGTGTAAGCTTGGGGAGAGCCTTGAGCCTTAGGGAGAGCCGTGAGTGTTCATTTTTGGTCGTGAGTGGGCATTTATGGTTGTATAAGTAATGCTCCAGATTTTGAGGGAAAACACCACTACCCCCAATTCCAGGTCGTGAGTGGGGTAATTCACCTCATGAGGCTTTAACTGCCTCGAGGTGTACGCGATCACATGCCCCCTCTGTATCAAAACCGCCCCTAACCTTGAGATTGAAGCATCACAATACACTACCAAATCGTCCAACCCCTCGGGTAGTACCAGAATCGACGCCTCACATAATCTCTATCTCAAGGTCACGAAAGCCAACTGCTAGTCTAGGCCCCACTAGAAAGTCACATTCTTCTTGGTCAAACAGGTCAATGGTATGACGATCTTAGAGAAATCCTAGATGAATCTCCAATAATACCCTGCTAGACCCAAGAAGCAACAAATCTCAAAAGCATTCTTTGGTACTTCCCACCGCATCACTACCTCAACCTTGGCTAGATCAACCGAAATACCCTCTTGGTTGATGATGTGCCCCAAAAATTGCACCTCTCGCAACCAGAAATCACACTTTGGGAACTTGGCATAAAGCCTTTCTGTCCCCAGTGACTCCAATACCTCCCTCAAACGCTGCTAATGCTACTCCTTGGTCTTAGAATAGACCAAATATCATCAATAAAAACGATCACATACCGATCCAACATCGGCTTACATACCCTATTCATGAGATCCATGAA